GGGGCACAAATATGTACTCCTCACAGGTGTTCCTCCTTGTACATTTATACTTAGCAATGTAAGGGAATGTTTGGAATCATTTCCCCCTCTGAATGTGCAAAAAAATAATGATGAAAGATTCAGTCGCACAGTAAAACGCAGGATGTGATCTCATGGAGCAAGCGTCAGTCTTAAGTAAGATTCCTCTTAAGGGATTGCGCGAGTGCAAGAAGAGAAGCCATATGCTTCTTAGAGACAAATGAAATCACTGAAAGATAACGGGTCAGAGGGAGGAAAATGAAATTCAGGATAGTTGAGAAGGTTTGCTTCAAATTTTACCTAGTTGTGACCACGAGCGCTTGTTGGGTCAGCTCGATCGTTGAAATCCATATGTTCATTTATATATTTGTATTTAATTGATATTTTAGGCTTAAAAGTGCCATCGAGGGATATTCCCCATTGCTACCTCTGTCCTGATGGGACATAGAACCGATACATACATATCCAGCATTTGAAAAACATGAGAGTATTTCCACAGAGCAAAAAACCTCCAGGCACATACTGAAGCAGCATATACTTCCGCACTCCTCTCACTGACGTCGCCTTGAAAATTAGATTTCAATGCTTTTCTTCGAAGAGAGAATAAATGTAATGGTGAATGATTTAACAAATGGTGAAAAAATTGTGTTCTGTCGACAGATTCATGGACCCATTCAAGGACACCCAATACATTCGCTCAAAGGCTTCAAATGAGCTAGATTGCATGGCGATGACTCCGGATCAACTTAAAGCGTTTCAGGGTCTCTCCACCGGCGGTCTAGGAGTGATCGTCGGCGCAGCCGGGACGGGAAAGACCTTCATACTTCAAGAGAAAATCCGTAGCATCGTGAAGGACTGGTTTTTATCTCACTCCTCCCTGGACGGGATGAAGGAGAAGATCCTTCTGGTCTGCAGTAGTCCAGGTCTTTCTGTTAATCTGAAGGGAACTCTCTTTGACCTTTTGCTCCGATCGGCTCTGATTGCCATCCGGCAACGGGATAACTACATTTTAGAGACAGAAGAAAGAGTGAAGAGGATGTTAGCAGAGAATGTCGCTATCTCGACTTTCGACGACCTGCTCGAAAGGCAGCGAAGAGAAGAGCCAAATAATTCCAAATCTCTAATCTTTGATCGAGACTCAGCTGCCTCCGAGTCGCATTCCAAGGGGAGAGAAGACCTTCCCTCACTGGCCGCCTTCTTCAGGCCATATCGTGAAATTCTTCAGATATTTACCCTAGTGGTCGGAAAACACCCAGAAGAAGATGAAGAGGAGGCGAGGGCGACTGAATGCGAGAGTGAACCAGTTGATGAAGGCTTCCTCAGCTTGAAGGATCCCTCTCCACGACATCCGTCGACTCCATTCCAGCCTGACCCAATCCTGTTCTCTCGCCTAGAGTAACGGTTGGGCTCTGTGTTGACCCGGATGGAATCCTGGCTTGAGAGAAAGAACGCGTCCCACAAAGGATTCAATCGAAAGACATCTATGCCTCAGCAAAATCTGCACAGAACGGAGAGAAAAGGAAAGTCTTCCTGCCGTAGAGACTTGAATAACCTGGAATCGATGAAGAACTGTCTCAGAACGATGATGCAGCACCTCCCCGAGACTTATCTATCCAGCAAACTTTTAATGCGCATGGAAGATTTCTTGGAGAGGTTGGTGACACCTGAAGACTTCCTCAGAACAGCGTCCGAAGAAGAGATGGAAGAATTGAAGAAAAACTTTTGGTAGCATGGAGCCGACCTTTCGACACGTTTTCGTCGACGAAACCGAGGACCTGTTCTTTCGATACACCGACGAGGTCTTGCTTCTCCTTCGCGCTCATCAGGATGAGGAGAAGCCAGGATATTTCTGCTACACTTTTGATCCAATGTGTCACGAACTACAGCTAGAGAAAGACAGCCTCTTGTATTCCGTTCTGGCGCACAGCTGGAAACTATACTCAGTCATGCGGAATCCGAGGTCAATTTACGAAGATTTGCAGTCGTTTCCGATCAGAGGAATATCGGGAGGTCATCGAGTTGATCGAGAAGTGTACGATGCCAGAAAGATTCGCATGGGACACGAATTTCAAGGCCCCAAAGTGCAATGGTTCACAGCGGACCCACAGAAACCAGAATCCGTTTCGAATCGAATCCGTGAAACCTGCAATGTGTTCCGCGGACAAGAAGGAATCACAATTTCAGTTCTCCGCACGAGTGCATATATATTTGTATTTAATTGATATTTTAGGCTTAAAAGTGCCGTCTAGGGATATTCCCCATTGCTACCTCTGTCCTGATGGGACATAGAACCGATACATACATATCCAGCATTTGAAAAACATGAGAGTATTTCCACAGATCAAAAAACCTCCAGGCACCTACAGAAGCACCATGTACTTCCGCAATCCTCTCACTGACGTCGCCTTGAAAATTAGATTTCGATGCTTTTCTTCGAAGAGAGAATAAATGTAATGGAGAATGATTTAACAAATGCTGAAAAAATTGTGTTCTGTTGACAGATTCATGGACCCATTCAAGGACACCCAATACATTCGCTCAAAGACTTCAAATGAGCTAGATTGCATAGCTATGACTCCGGATCAACTTAAAGCGTTTCAGGGTCTCTCCACAGGCGGTCTAGGAGTGATCGTCGGCGCAGCCGGGACGGGAAAGACCTTCATACTTCAAGAGAAAATCCGTAGCATCGTGAAGGACTGGTTCGTATCTCACTCCTCCCTGGACGTGATGAAGGAGAAGATCATTCTGGTCTGCAGTAGTCCAGGTCTTTCTGTTCATCTTTTGATGAAACAGAAACAAACACATTGGATCAAAAGTGAAAACACACTTTTGATCCAATGTGTCACGAACTACAGCTAGAGAAAGACAGCCTCTTGTATTCCGTTCTGGCGCACAGCTGGAAACTGTACTGAGTCATGCGGAATCCGAGGTCAATTTACGAAAATTTGCATTCGTTTCCAATCGGAGGAGTATCGGGAGGTCATCGAGTTGATCGGGAAGTGTACGATGCCAGAAAGATTCGCATGGGACACGAATTGCAAGGCCCCATAGTGCAATGGTTCACAGCGGACCCACAGAAACCCGAATCCGTTTCGAATCGAATCCGTGAAACCTGCAATTTGTTCCGCGGACAAGAAGGAATCACAATTTTAGTTCTCTGCACGAGTGAGGTCTTGTTCGCGAAGCACGGTGGGGAGAAATTGTTATCGGAGTTGGGTGGTCGGAGAGCAAGTGATTCCAAGAGATGTGACATCATCGTTGACACGGCATGGACCTTCAAAGGACACGAGGCCAGTGTAGTCTTTCTGGTTACACCTTCATGTTTGGATTCATGGTTTTCGAACCCGCTCATTTATTTAGGCAGAACGAGAAGCAAAGCCACCTATACATAATCGAGGTGGTTTCTGAGCCATTTGTGCGGACATTGTAAATAATTTCCGGAAAAAAAAATTGTGAAAAATTACATATTGTTCCAACTTAATAATCTCGGTTTGCGTTTTTCATGTCTATACGAATGCAATTTGTCTTCCGCAATCGATCAGAAAACTGTAGTTCAGTTACTAAACATAAGGAGCTATGGGTGTTGGTTTTCGAGGCATAGCCTAATACCATAAAATATTATTGTTTGTTCATATTTTGGATTATTTGCAAATTGCACTGTATAGCCAAAAACGGTTATTTTCTGTCTTGGAGAAAAAATAATACACATATTCAATTAAGTTACTTTTTCATTGATACATCTATCGACTGTAAGCGGTTATAGTTAGCCTGGCAAGCGACCCTGGCATTTGTTACAAACACCTCGTTTACAAACAAAAGTAACGTTCGACTAGCCTTCGTAAATTGTGAATTGCTACTGTGTGACTTTTTTTTCAAACTAAATGGTATGATAGTCGATATGTCTATATTTCGATCGATATATAATAGAGGATTGAACTGCTAGTAGTGTCACGTAGAGGGGACTGTTTTTGAAAAATGTTACAAACAACCCCGGTCTCTCCTATTATGAATTTTATCGATGCAATATCTCATCATCGCTACCTCCAGACTTCATAGCATGCAGCTATTTCCGCGTGGAGTCGAATATTTAATTTCGGCACCTTGGATAGTTTGTGGAAAGAAATAAATGGAAAAAATCGTATATACATTGATTTCTCTCTTTCCTATGACACAAATACCATTGTTCTAGTCCAAAATTGACTAAAGTTATTACAATCTAAAATAATGTAGCGACTTACTATGTCTCCTTTTCATGAAGACAGTTCATCACCCCTAATCCGCTAGTGCTTTTTTTGTTTCGACTACAATCAGTTTCAATAGTTATAAACTTGCATGAACTTGCATGAATCAATGCAAGAAACTTCAAGAACTTTCAACATGAGTTCACCGCTTCTGGACAGCCTTCGGCAGCCTTCACTCACAGAAGTGCTTTAAAACAAAGCACACGAACAAATTCGTCATGTTATCAAGCAACACGTAAGAACAAACCTTAAATATTGTCCTTTGTCTATAATGCAATCACAAAAGCTGTGAAAATGTCCTGAACAGCAGCCGAAGCAACATTAAAACACAGCTCACAACCAGCAAGCAACCAGGAAAGCATTAGTAATGCTGTCGTGTCATGGAGGGCGGAGGCACTGTCCACTCCACGGCAGATGCTCAAAATAACGATGTGTTTCAATACCCATATTTCACTCATAGTGTTCATTCGTCCATTCGGTGGCGCATCAGCTGATATTTAAGCTCCAATGTGTATCATCACAAGAAAAATAAATCCAACTATCTCCCTCCATCGATGGGTGGAAATATGAGTTACCAACTAGTACACACACTCACGAACCTGTGTGATCAATTCAAAGGAAAACAAGACGAATGCCCATGCATACTTGCATCTTCACTGCTTTGTTTTCCCTGTTCAACCAAGACATTGTGCTGGAGACTTTTTTGAGCAATTCATTTGAACTAGTTAGATGTATGATATAGTGGCGCTTTATAGTCTTGCATATTTGCATGTGCTCAGGGAATTTATTTTTGCATCAGCGGTTCCTCTGCTTCCTGTAGGTTATCTTGTATTGTGGCGCCCCTACTCTCTAGGTCATCCATCTCCGTCTGAAAACACTCCGAGTTCATATATTTGGGAGTTTTTGGAATATATTCTTTTTCCCTGTATGCACGAGGTTTTCCCAGCGGCCGAAGGTATTCATTATCGGTATTACTTGCTGTCATTTTTAAGTAGTCCGTCTGGTTTCGAAAGTACTCTGCGTTCTTTTCCTCAAACGGCTTGTTTTTTTCCATGTAGTACTACATGAGAATATAAATGAAAAATTGTTGAAATCTGGGTTGGAAAGAAAGATGGGATGGGGCAATAAAGGAATTCTCACCAGACGCTCAGATTCATGTAGCATTTCCCCGAACCATGCGCTCAACGTAGAGAACGTCGGTCGAACGTTCGGATCCGCATCCCAGCACCTCCTCATCATTTCATAACTTCACAGAAAAGAAAGGAAATAATAATTGGAGTGAACGTCTCATTAACACCATGTTCAATGCTCAACCCTTGCCTGGTTTCCTCAAGTAAAATCCAACAAAAAATCAAAGGACATCAGTGCGGATATCTCTTTTATGGGACTTTGAAAGAGCTACATACTTGCCATAGACCTGATTGGAAAGTACAGTAGAGGTTCACGAAGTGTTAACTATCTCATAAAAGAAAAGAACGACAAGAGGAAAACCCACAGGAAAATTTCGAGGGTTGCCGCAAATAAGTCTGGAGCTGAATACCCGTCCATGATTGGTTCTCTTGATGAAAGTCATGTACTACTCCAAATATGTTGTGCGGGGTCGTATATAAATATGCTGAAGAGATACGGAATTGTGACTTTCAGAATGATTGAAAAACAATTATGGAAGACTGTGTTTTCTTTTGAGACTGGCTTCAGCAAAGATTCAATTTTCGCAAAACATTCACTCAAGTGCATGAGTCCGAACACGGGATATTTCGCCAGGATGGCCATTGACATTGCCAGTCTCCACTGGCTCCAGGGAATTTAAAAACATTTCCTATTCATTTTGCCAACCTAATTTTGTATCATAATGATTTAAATAATACTGTCGAACCTCAATATAGCGATATATCAAGACGCCCGAGCAGGGCGCTACTTAGACTGAATGCAATCTAAGTGATGGAAAGAACTTATCCAAAATGTAAATTTTATATAGGATGAATCCTAAAAAAGAAAGTTTTACTGAACAGTTTCCCTGGAAATATCTAATTCACGAAGTTCCATGAACGCATAATTTGAACGGTTTTTCAGTTCTTTGAATTTTGAACATTTAAGCAGTTAATGGAACGTTTCCAAAGATATTATTGGAACATTGAACACGTTCGGGTGTTACTTGGATGGTGGTCTCTCAAGATCATGGTGATTCCATCCACGACAACGGAGTATTTCCTTTCCTCCAGTTTGCAGCAGGTTTTATCTGCCACTAGTGTATACCATTCGAAATAATCTGACGAGCACTAACTGAATTCGAAAACTTTTTGAGAAAATTTCTTCATAAAGACCAAATCTTGAGGGGTCAAAGGTAAAAAATATTACGTCCTATGAGAAAACCAACAACGTTTTTTTCTCCCTCCCTATTGATTCCTGCCTATCTCACATTACCTCCCTGCCTTTATAAAACCATCAGGATCCATTATTGTTGGAATGGTGTGAAATGAAATGTTTTTAACTATTGTATATATTCAATTACGTTGTCATGCCAACCATTTCATACTTTTGCAACGCGCGGGCCTACGATGCTATGCCATTCTGGGTCATAGGCCAGGCCATCCACTGTCTAAGGCGCCAGGCTTATAAAGCTATGTTTTTCCAGGCCATACTATATTGTAATTCAAAGAGCCCAAGAGTTTTGGTGGTGGTTGTCACCCCAACGCGCGAGGCCTACTGGACTATGTCACTTCAGGCAATGGGCTAGGCTATCCACCGCTCAAAGCACCAGGTCCAAGGGCCTAATATGTTCTAGGCCATAGGCTTTGCCCTAAAACGCTTTTAGCGCCAGGTCCAGCGAGCTATATCTGTTTGAGCCATGGGCTCATCCTATTGGGTTGGAAAGAAAGTCTTGCAACACTTTAAAAAAATATTTATTAAAATGTTCAAAGGAATGATGGGTGGGGCTTTGCATTTGTATATGCTGGAATGTTCTCGAAACTTCTGCCCTCAGGGTATATAAGTCGGCTTCTGCCATTAGTTGGCAGCCATGGCACCGATCGAACGAGCAACTTTTCGCCCCATCGTCTACTACGAGTTCCTCCAAGGACATTCTGCGAGAGCCGCCGCGGACAACATCTGCGCTGCATTCAAGGGCAACGTCGTCCACTTTTCCACGGTGTCTCTATAGTTCAAACGCGTCGAATCTGGCGACACGACCTTCTGAGATCGACCACGCTGAGGACGTCCATCTACAGTCGATGACGAAGTGCTGCGGAACGCCCTCAACGCGAAGCCGAACGCAACCACTCGCGAATCGGCGACTACACTTGGAGTCACCCATATGGCCATCGGCAACCATCTGAACGACCTCGGCTATCGGAAGGTTTACTTGATATGGGTCCCTCATCGGCTCGGCGACTTTGACAGAGCAAGCCGTGTAAGTGTCTGCGAATCACTGCTCCTTCGTCCGCACAGAAAGCCAGACTCACCACGGACGACACGAGACGGAAGACGAAAGACGGCGTGTCCGGAAGGGGGAGGTAACACCCCCAGAAATACAATGGAGGGCTATGCGGGCCCAACCCTGACATGGGCAGAACCCATGTTCTGACAATGAACCCATTGACCATTCAACCGTTGAAAAATGAAGTTAAGCGAACCGACCTACAGGAGGAAACGAGGATCTTCTGAATAGGAATGTGCCCCACCCCCACTTTTTGTCTCAGTAATTCTTTTGTTTGCTGCTTTCGTGTGGCTGCCTCAGTTTGTTTTATCCTTTTTATATTTTCGTATCCCTATTATTAATTTAATTACTTTTTCTTCTTTTCGCGTCTTCACTTCTCCGAAACGTCGGTTCCTTCTTTTCATAAAGTGTCAGATTGGGAGTGTTCTTTCATTTTATTGATCAGCTTTGATTAGAAAATTGTGAACATAGTACTTTCGTTAGCGTTTATCAATACAATTTCGCCATACAATACCCCATTTCCGCATATCATTGGACCTGTGCGAACAAGGCAACAGGAAATGTGAACACACGGGGTCTTTCATAACCTTTTGCTAGGGGAGTACAGAAATTATGGAGTATCAAAAGTGAGTATTATACATATCTTAAAAGCTTTTAGATTAGTAATTGAACAATATCATGCCGGGGTCTTTGGCCATGACGAGAGGTGTGATTGACCCCATTCGAGCTTACGTCTATCAAGAAACAAGGGAAGCAGGCGCAACGTTTATCAAGTGAGTGTGAATTGCTCACCGCTGCATCGCAAGGAGGGATTGAGTTGCTGAAAACTGGACCAAAAAGGATAAGAATCTTGTTTTACGTGGTAATGCGTCAACGATACCATATCAAAAAAGGAATGAAGGGTATAGGGACGAAATAGAAAGAATGATGATTGGTGAGCTTGGCTTTTGCTCAAATTCTGACCCTTCAAAACTTCAAAAATGTTATTCATGAAGAGCATAACTTACGTCGTCCACTATTCCACGGTGTCTCGATGGTTGAAACGCTTGGAATCTGGCGACACGACCTTCGGAGATCGACCACGCTCGGGACGTCCATCGACAGTCGATGACGAAGCCCTGCGGAACGCCCTCGACGCGAAGCCAAACGCCACCACTCGCGAGTCGGCGACTACACTTCGAGTCACCCATATGGCCATCGGCAACCATCCGAACGACCTCGGGTATCGGAAGGTTTACTCGACACGGGTCCCTCATCAGCACAGCGACTCTGACAAAGCAAGCCGTGTCAGTGTCTGCGAATCACTGCTCCTTCTGAAGGACCTTCTGAAGGAAATCCTTACTGGAGATGAGAGCTGGGTCCTCTACGTCGACCATACTCGCAAGAGTCACTGGCTTCCACGAGGAGAATTGCCGCCACGCGAACCGAAACCACAATGTTCTTCTCTTCTGTTGGTGGGATTCAGAAGGAATGTTGTACTATGAGCTCCTGCCAACCGGTATCACCGTGACTGCCGTCGTCTACACTGCTCAACTTTAGAAGTTGGCTGGCGTCATTCAAAACGAGCGTCCCAAACGCGACAAAGTTCTCCTTCTGCATGACAACGCTCGTCCACGTGTTGAGAAGATGACCCGCCAGACGATTTCGGAACTGGGCTGGGAAGTTTTACCCCATCCAGCGTATTCTCCGGACTTTGCCCCTTCCGACTATCACTTGTTCCGGGCCCTCGAGAATCACCTGCGGGAAAAGGCCTTCGACGATCGATCACAGCTCGAAAATGATGTCGGCCGTTTTTTCGCTTCGCAATCGCTAGAGTTCTGGGCAAAGGGCATGGAGCAGTTACCCGTGCGTTGGGAACATGTCATAGACAATAATGGTCATTACATTGTAGATTGAAATTGCATTTCAATAAAGTTATTACATTTTGAAAAATTTGCGCAGAGCGTTGCAAGACTTTCTTTTCAAACCCAATACATTTCCGTAGACTTCATATTTAGCTGTGTCAATCAAAGGTTGTTATTACTGAATGTGTCATGTTTTGTTTTCACTGATAGACTGAAAGTTCTCCATTTGAATATATTCTTTGTTGATGTATACATATATTTTTTCGTTAGGTCATGCGGGGCGATTCGGGCCATCGCTTCCAAGCAATAGTTGTCTGCTTTTCGTGTCATGGCCGATTTATTTGAGTTCGCATGATTGAAGAAATGAAAATAACCTAAGTTATTTGTTTCACACGTCGCGCTCCTCCCATCAAAATGGTGGCGATTTTTGCGAGGTGAGGTTGAACGCGAAAATAAAAATGTTGAAAGAGTTCCTACAGGATTGCGAAGAGCAGTCTCTGCAGATAATTAACGTTTGGTGCTGGCGCGGAAACAACGTTTGCCACTGCAGTTGCGGTGCGAAGTGCCTTAATCGGTGCTACCCGTAATGGCTAGAATCAGTGATGAACAGCAAGCAGATGTATGTAGGGAGCGTTCCTGTCATCTCAAGAATTACAGTCGTTTGTCACAGCGAACACTGTCAGGCTGTACATTGTGCTGTAGGGAGGGGGTATTTGTTTCACATTGCTGCCACAAAGTGCTCCTGCTTCAACGCAACTTTTCAGAGCCTCAGGATACAGTTGCTCACTGGTGCTAATGTGTCAGCGAGGCATTTTTACGAATTATTCGTTAGTATTTGCCGCACATGCGCTAACTTTCTTCTGTGCTAAAGTCGAACAAGTTCATGGAAATGGCCCGTACTGTTTCAGAATCAGTAGTATCTGTACAATACCCTATAAACTAATCGGTGATGCAAATTGTTGAATGTGCTGGGACAAGGAAATCAACAAAGTCGTCTTGAGTCTCATGAAAACCTGCTAAACCGAGGCGTTCACAATGGCAATTGTGGCAATGAGCTCAAATCTCATGATGATGGTGTTTAGGAACAAAATCTCTCTGTATACCGTAAGTTGTATGAGTATAATTCAAATGAAGCGGTTCAGTTCCGAATGGGTAATGCGATGAACGGAGGATATCAAGGATACGCTATGCAATAGACAATTCAACATTACACATACTAGACGGCCAGCGTAGCGGCCGCAGGCCACTAGCACCCCTTTATATATTGAGAGATGATGGACGCTAAAGTCATTTTCCGTGCAGTCATCTTGGAAATTGAAAAATCCTCCTTCTATCGTTCGAGCCAGAGTTCCCTGGAAACTCCTTGGACTAGGTTACCTCTAATGACAGATTAATTCAGAAATTCAAGTATCTCCCGCTCTGGTTTATGTGAAGAAAGATTGACTACATCATGGAAAGTATTGGTGATTAATTCCAACCGTTTTAGGAAATGACACATTTTAGGGACTACCTTGGCGCCATCTAGGTTTGATGGTTCGAACCTTCCCTTCAAGCCATTGTAAGATGGATGTAATTCCTGTGCGTTAGGAAAGTATATTAAACGTGCGACAAGTGTCCTTCAAATGCAGCATGTTTCGCGATCAAAAGGCATTTCATCTGAGCGTCCAAAAGGTGCTCATTATTATACATCAGATGTCCAAATACCTCTTTGGAAACACGTTGAACGTTCTTGAAAGCGTTTAAGTGCTAATTGGGCGATGTCACATGAATTAAGCCTTTGGGTTTCATTGGACCCGTGACTTTCCTCGGCACCCAATCATGTGAATGGAGCGAGGTATGTAAATGCGAATGGAGGCGAAGGAAAGTAAAAGATGTAACACAGCATAGCGACGATTCGCGAATAACTGTATTCTTGCTTTGCTTTTTTTTTTGCAAGATCCCGGCTCCCAAACAGTACAACTGTAATTCTTTGCCATCTACCAATGCGACTGAGATACGGGAAGACAAATTCAACCCTTTCAAAAACTCTCACTCTCGCCGACCTCCTTGCGTTGTTCATGCAATTCCGCAAGCAGGCATTTACTGCCATGGAAACAAACGAGGAAATTACGGTGATGGGTTTCAAGGCGAAAGCACGTGTGAACGCATGTGGCGACGAGCGGAGGAATCGCCCCCTCATGGACCCTTGAAATCCCTGGATTCACGGCAGCAGGCGGGAGGCACTGCAGCGAGCGATGCCA